TTCCATATGCGAATGCATGATATAGTTTAATATAAAGGTTCACACCAAAGCTAAAGAATGGCCTAAATGGGTTCCAATAACCAAAAACTTTGGTTTGGTTGATTATTTGAAATAATTTTTTGAAAAAAAATATTGTAGAGTGTAAATCATTCTAGAGTGTAAAATGAATTCATGAAAATATAAATTCACAATAAGACTAAAAGAAATTTAATAAATAAAAAATATTAAAGTTATTTAAAAAATAAAAAATGAATTAAAGGAAAAAAAATATGTAGAAAATAGATTTGGGTATTGGGCGGGATCAATCTAAACCCATCCCAAAGTGATCCCGCCCAAGTTAGTCCCAAAACACATGGGTAAGGTTGGACCCAAACCCATATGATTCGGTTCCATCTCAAACCCAAGCAAATCCCGCCCATTTTGCCACCTCTAAGTTTTCCTATTAAATGGAAATTGAAGAAGATTGTTACTGCAAACCATGCAAAAAAAAAAAGTTTATTGTCATCTAGGCGTGTCAAAATCTTGTTGGCTCCCCTATTAGTTTTCTGATTTCATGCTGCAGACAAAAATTTTATACCTTTGAGTTTTACAAGCACTTATTTTCAGCTTCTCTTTCCCATCTGTTTTTCTGACTTCTGAATTTTATTGTATCAATATCAGATGCAGATCTGCTTCAAAATATTAAGTTGTTTCTTCACTTACTTTTTCTATTCTAATAGGAAATGATTTTATCCAACTAGCTCAGAGGGTAGAAAAGTTCCCATCTATAGACCAAAGAAAATAAAGATGCCTCTTATGAGGAGGCAGAAGCACTCAATGTTTATTTTGCACACATTCCCCTGAAGCGAAGCAACTATTTTGTAAGTTCACGTAACTGAAACTAAGAAACAGAGAATCCAATTCATCTAGCAAGAAATTGCTGCCAGTTTTGTACACTCAATGCCTTTGTAGTTTTTGACTAAAAGCCAAAGCTTAAGCTAGTAATTTTCTTGATTTTTTGTTTTTTCTAGTTTTGTTTGGATTAATGTATGCAGTATAATGTTTACAAGTTTGAACAACACAGGAATCAAGCAACAGATCAGAGACATTATACAGAGGGTACTCTATTCACAAGAAAAAAGCTTACAAATGACAGATGTTAGCCTATAGAATATTTTCTCAGAGTAATTGTTACAAGGATGTTTATGTTTCTCAGTAATATCTGCTATGATTGCATAAATAAACAAGATAGACAAAACTTTCCCTCGGCATGCACATTAACAAAAAGTATTTCCTGCAGAGTTCCTACTTTAGTGGAACAGCTCTTGCAAAATATGTAATTCCATTGCAACTTCACTTGTTATTCCTCTGATACAGGGAAATAGCACAAAACAGAATTTCCATTATGTTCATTAATTAAAATGTATTTAGACAGTGCGTTAAATCTATAAAATCTTCACCTCATTGTTCTGGTGAAGACAAGTTGAACATTCTAGAAAGGTACTATATCAAAGGCATTCAACCAAAAGTGCATGTGTAACAAAGTAACACCCATCATCAAAATACAGATACCAGAAAGGCAGAAAAACTAAAACATATTCAAGTAAAATGCTTTAAATTGTGAAAGCAAAAGAGGCTCACAAAGAAACTGCTAACACCGTCATGCCTTGTGAACATCCCAGGAAACAGCTTAAGCCATGTGTCATCACCCAGCATTACCATTTTCCAGCCAATTCTAGAAAATTGTTCTGAAAAAGAGATGGACGAAAATTGCAGAAGTTGCTAAAAACACTCATATAATTAGTGAGTTCACTTTAGCAAGGATAACCAACTGACCAATAAGATTATCATCTAGAAAGGCTTGTGTGTTGAAATTGAGAGCAACATCCAGATATCCTCCAATTGCACCAGAAACCATGGCCTACTATACACAAAAACAGGACTAAGAACAGTCAGACTACACAAATAGCAGCTTCAAATTTCACCCAAATAACCAGTTTACAAACCTTCAAGCGAGGCATTGTCACGGTAGGAGGAGCAGCCCTAGCATGGTATCCAATTGCCTTTCCCTTAGCCAATAATGATTGTGTATATGGCATAGCTTCCATATAAACCTTAGGAGGAGGCTTGCCATCCTTCCCAAGCACAAACTCAGCTGGCAGACCATCAATGACCTAGAACAAACATCACAACAAACAGGGTTCTCCCTTACGAAACTAATTCAGCAGAAGCAATTTTTACACAAATTGAGCAGCGTACCATTAGTATTAGCCGGTCAAACAAAGGCGGTACACCAGATAGTTGCTGTAAAGGAAGACAAAAATAACCCACTTTGCATGAAGAAATAAACTTTAATAGCTAAAATGAGAAGAAAATATATAGCAAAAATTAAGTGAGTATTTTCTTTTCCATAATCCAGTGTGCTGTAAATGATGAATCTTTTCACCAGGGTCCCAAAAAAGCTTTCAACAATTATTATCCTAACCAACAATGAAGCACATTACCAGTCTTAAGCTACTAAATATTTTCCAATTGCAACAAATTTGAAAATCCAAATTTAAAAGAAAAAAAAAAAGAGAGTAAAGAACAGGGTAAACAGTGGTAGTCACCTGATATAGAGATTTAAGCTGATGAGGAGGTAAAGTTGTACTAGCATTTCTATCATCACTTGAATCGAACCCAGGTGGATAAAAACTCTCCAAACCACTGAAATTTTCGTTAAAAGAAAAGATGTAAAACAAACAAGAATAAAAATGAAAAGGGACAATCCTTGATACAGGATGAAGAACAGAACTAAAATGAATCAAGCGGGAAAACTGGAAGGTTACCTGGCCCCTGAGAGAGTGGTTTTTACTGGGAAGAAGCCTATAACGAAGAGAAATAATCCAGTAATTTGCATTACAACTGCTAATATTGTCAATATTGTTAATCTTTTACATGTTAAGGAAGAAGAAGATGAAGAAGAGCCCATCATTTTACTTGACGAGAGAGAATCTAATCCAGCTTGTTTCAAGATTTTTCGCAAAGAATCGGAGTGGGAATAAAGGGAAGGAATGTATAGGCAAGGTAAAACCCCAGAAGCAAGGAGCACAAGATCAAGGAAGGGGTTTATGGAATTTAATTCAAAACGAGAACAATAAAGAAGAAATTTTTTTTTTAAAAGGCACTGCAATGTATTTAGGAAAAGAATTTTAAAAAGGTAAATATGTATGAATTTCCCTTATCGGATTTTTTTAAAGAAAAATAGGAACTTTAAGCTATTATTGGCAAAAAAAAATGGTGGATATGTCATTGAAACTTGGGCTACTTGCAACTTGGAGTTAAATTAGCAATTGTTGATAATTGAGGTTTAAAAAATACATTGTTTTATTCTTAGAAACTATATAATAGCTCATAGACAGGAAAAATACTACTTCATTGCAAAGTTATTAATAATATTTTTTTCTCCTTAGCAAATTACTAAAGCTTCTTGCCAATTAAAAGGCTAGATCAATTTCTAAGTTACTAATTTTCTTCCTTTAAAGTCAATCTTCATTTTTTTTAATCTTGTAAACTGTGATATGTCTATAATCAAATTTTTTTTTTAAAAAAAAATCTTCTACACTTTTAATTTTGTAAATCAAAATTCATTTCTATCTGAATATTGCCATTCTAGTTCATAGCACTCTTTGCAATAAAGAAAATAACAATTAGAGAGAGCCTTTGAATTAATACTTCAACTTAGAATACCTTAAAGTCTGAAAATAGCCTACTTTTTTTTTTATTTTTCTTAAACGGTGAAACTAACCTACTTATTAAATTACAAAACTTATTATTAGGGTTAAGAGACGTACATTTTTTGTGGCCATATGCCTAGTAAAGTACCAAAAGCTGAATAGTCTAGGAAATAAGTGTACCTGTTTTGTTCGGACTGAACATTTTTAATTAGGCATGTAGTTGAAAATTTTAATCACTTAATTGGCACACCCAACCCAAGCTAAGTTTCGGAAATACTTAAACATGTTTGTAATCAAATAGCTGTTGACCATTAGATTTTAGGGTTTTGTGAGTTTGTTTAGGTAATTGCGTGAACTAAAAATCAATTCCATCTATGTGACAAGAAGTACTTAACTTGATTAAATATCTTTAAAAATGTGGAAGATCATGTCTATAAATGTTCTTAAATTTATGAATTTTGCGGTTTATTGGTTTTAATAATTTTGAAACTATTTATTAATTATATCATCAGATGAGGAAGGACTACTTATGCTTGAAGAGCAGGAAACCCCTAAGCCTGTGTTATTTAGAACAAAGTCTTTGATCAACAAAGCATTTTTGTGCCTTCTTAGTATTGTCCCCAAAATCAATGAGATGACTGAGAATCATTTAAGAGTCTTGTATAATAGTCTCCAAGCATATTTTTCACCATAATTACTCTCTCTCCTTTTTTTTTTCTTAGTCTTTTTGGACAAATTATTACCAAAATTTATTTCAAGATGTTACCCAAATCACACCTTTTAAAATATTTTTTCTACTACTACAATCCATCCTGACCTTTTTTCATTACTACTGTTGAGCGTTTGCAAAAGTTTCATATTTTCATTACTACTATAAGCTCTGACGCTCTTGAATGATTTCGCGTGTGCCGTGATAAGTAGAGATGGCCAGCCTCAGCCCCCACACGGGGGAAGGCGGGCAGATTAGGATCAACTGCGGGGTAATCAAATTAGTCATTAGAAGTATCGGTTCATTTTGTTTCTTAAAAAATGTTCTTGCTCATGCTGCTTCCTCGACAGCAGGCTAAAGGAAACATTGTCTGGATCCAGGAGACGTAGAAGACATTTTTGTTAGAGGGAGTGGCAAACACGGGCAGGATTATCAACTATTAAGTGATTCGCACGACATAGGGAAGGGAACCAAAAAATGAGGGTAGAGGAAAATAACTTGAAAATGTAGCAGACAAAATACTTATTTACAAAGTAAATCACAAAACTGGCTTAATATCCATCAACTTACCATCAATGCAAATAAGCCGCACACCATAGACCAAAAACACCGGCTTAAATGACGTCATCCAATAAATACCACTCAAAATTCAAACTTCAGAATCATTTTGCAGTGAAAAGACAGCAGCACAAAGATAATCAGGACTTTACATCCTTCAGCACTCCCCCTTTCTCCAGTTCGTTTACTAGGTCCCTCAAAGCTGGAACCTTCATAGCTAAAGTCCTGTACAATCTAGAATACCGAGCTCGAGTACCATCTGCTGTCCTAGCAAGAGCAAGCAAGCTCAGAGACTCGGGAAGTTGAGCGAATAACTCTTTCATTTCCTCCAAGCTCATGTTCTCTAAAACAGTTGGTCTTGGAACAACTCTAACTATCTCGCTGCCCTTGGGTTCTTGAACCCGGGAATCAGCTTTAACCACCAATTCAGAACTCGAGTTAGCTCCACACTTTATGATGAATGGGGTTGTTGAGCCCGTGTTGAACTGCAAAACATTCCACTGTCCCACATCTGTTTCAACAGCAGACCCCATGTCTGCTGAAAGTTTTGAAGCATTTGCCGCATGATGAAGCTGGTCATCCTCCTCAGCAACACACTGTCGATCAAGCAAAAGAAACATATAAACAAAAATCGCATCACAAAAAGCATTTACCCCAAACTTCAACTTCTGATCAAGGATGAAATCCCAACAAAACTTGAAAACGAGTGCTATCAAGTTAATTTGGCACTCTCAGACAAATGTAACAAGCGGTTTTTCTAACCAAATATCAACATCAAAAGAAAAACAAACCAAAAGAAATCTTCAGTCCCAAATAAAACGGAAAAACATGCATACACATGCATGTATGGAAGCGGCAGACAGATTTTTTCTTTTTTCTTTTTTCTTTTTTTTTTTGTGTGGTAGAGGTTTGGGGGGTTTGAGAGAGACTTTAATCTAACATCAAAATCAGGTTGACAAGAAGTAATTATTGTAGCTGAGCAACTGCAGACCAACTGAGGTTTGAATTTGAACAGAAATACTCGAAAAGACATCTTCCAAACTACTTAAACCTACACATCAAAAATTCACATGTTCCCTCACAGCATGATTTACAAACCACAGAATTCAAAGGCTGGGCTTCCAGAAGTAACTAGAAAGATATAATTTTACCGCACCTCTACAGCTTTACGAGCCTCTGTAATGTGTTTTCGCGCACAAGGATGATCAATATCAAGTAGAGAAGGCATCCGATCTGCAAGTTCATCCAAAGATGAAAGCATCGATCTCTTCTTACTCTTACTCAGTTTTCCTGCTGAAGACTGCCTCATTATATCCTGTGAAAACACAGCCTGTTAGTCTTGCAACCTCATTCATTCACTGCAACCTCGCCTTTCATCACTGAATACTGGAGGCACATGCCTGTCTGAATCTGTTATGTGTGTTTGTGTGTGTGAGAGAGAGAGGCAGAAAGAATTTAAGAACCTTCACTTGCTTCAGTATGCCATCAAGGGAGACTAAAGAAGCTAGTCGTGCATCCTCAGCTGCAGTTGAAGGATTCCTGATGGGTGAACCACTGTCCCCTAGAGTCAGCAATGCTATGTCACTTCTCATTTGTTGCAAAATCTAGCAAATGAAACAATGCAAGTCACTTAGATTTTAGATGACAAAGGAAGTTTCTCTGGGAACCAAATTTATAAATCGAAAGGAATGTCCTCTAATTTCAATTTTGATCTTGTACATCAATAAACATCCAAATACTCCATGTTATAGATGAACACAATAGAAAGACAAACCTAGTGTGACTAAATGCTGACAAGTAATTTGACGGACACTGTCAGTGAGAATGAAGTTGGGGCACCATGTATTTCTATATTCTCTTCAACAAAACATTGCACTCTGAAATGGGCCTAACACTTCCACATTTCCTCAACGGGGGGGTGCTTGGGACATAAAAGTTATCAATTTTTCAATTTAAATTTCCCTCTTTTCCCACGATGTTCACGTAATTTGGAAATGACATAACATTATACTAGCACAATTTAAATCAGAACCAGCGACTGTAAAACCTCAATATCCTACAGATTCAAAACATTGCATTAGATGGGCCTAACTCTTTTAGTGCAGTAAACAATCTGTAGGATAAAATCTATGGCTAACTGATTAAATGCGGGACAAACAAGAATATGAAATGAAGATACCATAAACAATAATGAAATGACTATTCTACCCATGATATGAACAAGAAAAATAAGTTTCAGAAACATCACTTTTGAGCTATTAGGTTCTTAGGAACTGAAAATTAAGCACTGTAACACAGGACAATTACATATAGCTTGTAAATTCAGCCAAAATTGTGATTGGGAAGATTATTAGCATCCTTTACAACTACGAGCCAGTTAAGATTTGTATAAACTTGACAATGAACTGCAGTCTGCAGAGGTGCCATAGATTTTAGAAATTGACTTTAGAGTTTATCTACTTATTTGCAATAGGAGAAAAAATAAGGAGAAAAAAACCTCAGAATTTTGAATTTTCTATAAGATTTTCCCCAGAAATTTTCATTTTTAAATACAGACCCACCTTCTGTTAAATTGCCATAAAATAGTCAAAATTGGTATAGATCTAGCCGAAAATTAATGGGATAAGTACAACTTTTACTCTCAAAATTTATTGATAAACAAATGCTTCTAATCACTGAACACTAGCTAAGTAGTTCAGTAAGGTTTTATATATATATATATTACAGAACTTGAATTTCTGCTACCTTTCTTCTCTTGTGATCAACGGACTCTAGGGCTGATCGCAATTTAGCTACTTGAGCAGAGTCCTCTGCTATTTCAGTTGCCAAGGTACCAGCAATATCCTGGCAAGGATCAAAGTTACATAAGCAAGTACCAAGAATATTTTAGAAGAGATGCAACATGGTCTTATTCTGCTCTACTGGAATTTATTAACAAAAAAAAAAAAACAACAACAACACTCTTAGCTGCCAATCAACAGCAGCAACCCCATTAAAAGGTGCATCCACAAGAGAAAACAGGAAATTTCTCATCATAGACTATGATGGAAAAATTTTACAAGCCAAGGAATGGAACTGACACAGCTGAGCTGACCAAGAGATTGGTTGGCTACCATAGGCAGAATAGTGGTAAAAACATAATCCAGCTTTGTCCATGGCACAGAACTGGTAACTTTGAAAAGAGCATTTGCTCATGCAAGTCACAAACTTATATGGCGAGAAGAACTAATGGAAATGGAAAATTACTCATGCAGTTAGGTCATCGCTTTTAGTCCATTAATTTGTCATTGGGATTCTGAAAAGTACTTCAGAAATGGGGAGGAAAACCAAAAGAAAGTGCAGGGATTATACAAATTAGCAGTGGATCATAAGAGTAATCATAACTCTCAAAAACCAAAAGAAAGTGCAGGGATGATACAAATTAGCGGTGAATCATAAGAGTAACCATAACTCTCATGAGTTCGAATGCAAGCAACTAGTGGTAATAGACTTGACACAAAGAAAATTGCTCAATACACACCTTCAAATGCTGCAGTTGAGAATTATAAACTCGTTTTGCATACTCAGATAAGAGCTGCCCCAGAGCATCAGTACTAGGAGGTTGAGCAGCACCAAGTCCAGCCATCCAACCATCCATTATTGCAGTAGAAAGAAGCTCTAGCTGACCAGTTGCTCCTCCAACCGTATCATCAGTCACAGAGAGAAAATCAAAGTTTTCAGCTAGCCAATTCCGGATCTGACGCTGTAACTCACCAGCTGGAGTATGAACAAAAAGCGCTGCAAGAGCCCTATTTCCAACAGCAAAACTTTTGGCTTCTTCAGTTATTTCTCTCAGCTTTCCACCAGTTACATGTTGTCTCCATGTTTCCTGCACAATTATGTCAATCAAGCCCATGGATCATAAGCAAATAGCTGAATCTGAAATGTGTTCATAAGCAAAAACATAACAATTAAATAGCATAAAGAATGCATAGCCTATGTAAAAGGTGCACCGGGAGAACAACCTTTAGAGCCCCCATTTGATGGAAATCAGGATTATATTTATCTTTGTAAGAGAGGTTAGCTCTATGATGTCTTGTTATCAGTTGCAGCACCAAATTTCTATTTATTAGCAATTTATGGACAGTAGCAAAGACAGTATAACCTTTTGATGAGGCCTTTAATGCCTACAAAGTATAATAAATGATGGCAAAATTAATCATGTGGGTCCTACTTGATGGCAGATTTGGCCACCAATGGTCAGGAAGCATATCACCTATTCCACGAGAAGAGATATCGACACACCATGTCCCAAGGGATGTGCAATTGGTATCTGTAGGTGTTTATGCATCATTTCACCAAGCCAACAGGTTAATTGGCAATGACAGTTCCAATTAGAAAAGAAAAGCAAGACAGAGTTGACAAGATTGCCAAGCACCATTACCAAAATCAAAAGAAGAGGATGTATAACAGTGCCAGATGGAATTCTGATTTGAACTTACACCAACTAAAATTGTCAGATCTAGTGGAAACATAAACCAAGTATACATCATGTTAACAAAGCATTCACACTGGATCCGTTTGGTTAGCATAATTTGCCAAAAAAAAATAATAATCATTCAAGTGTTATGCAGCTTGCATCATATACACAATTTACAAACACCTTTTTACCTCACATAAAAGTATACCATCAGTGGGAACTTTGCTTTCTGGTTGGGAAGTGTCTCTGTCCCTTTTACTTCTTATTACTCTTTTCATTCACTTTTTCTAACATTTCTAGTACCAACTAATTCATTCAGGCGAGACATCTTATGATGTCATGATGCGCCCATTCCTATGGCCATTCCTTTAATACTTCTGGCTCTTGGGAGTCTCTTTGTAGGATACTTGGCCAAAGTGTGACCTGTTAGCCCATAAGTAAGTACTGTAACGAAGCGGCTGTTGCTCACCCGACACCATCGTGCAAGGTCACAATTCACCCAACACAATCATCCGTTTGGCTAGCATAATTTGCCAAAAAAAAAAATAATTCAAGTGTTATGTAGCTTGCATCATAAACACAATTTCCAAACACCTTTTTACCTCACATACATCACATCACAAAAAGTGCTACACTGTTATTCCAAATAATTTTTTCAAAATAATCTCCTACCCAAACACAGGCATAGGTTTTATGCATAATGGCACCATTATGCTGTATAACTTACAGGCCAAACCCGACATCCTACTACCCCTTCTGGACAAGGAAAACTAAAAGTTGGAATCAAAATTGATCATAATTAAGAACAAAGTAAAAAGCAGAAACACCCAAAAAAAAAACAGATAGTATTCACCTGATCAATACCGCGTATCTTCAAAACTACTGATGACAATTTTGACTTCTTTTCTGGCTTAATATTTACTTTAAACCCTTGAATTTGATCCTCTACAAGAGCATTCCTCGAACCAGAATCATATCGGACGGGAGATCTTCCAGGGCTGCTACCACGACTAGAACTTCTGCTTCTTCCACTATTTGCTTTCTCCAGAAATCGCTCAACTGGTGGAACCTAACACCAGTTTGGTACAATTAGACAGGAAAAACCTTCAAAAAAAATGCAGATTCTAGCACATTTGTGTAAGAATTCTGAAAGGTGAAGGCAAAATTCTTGAATACCTTGATAGACTGCAGCTCAGGTGACCTAGCAAGCAGAGATCTGATATACAGAATTCTAACCCGAGAAACCAGCATGGTGTCCATCACCCTTTTTGGCTCCATTTTACGAATAAAACCAAAAACAGCATCTCGTATTTCTGCCAGTATTTCATGCTCCCTAGAAGCGCCAGCTTTAATGACAGCAGCCAAAACCTGCAATGTTGAACGTATAGTCATTAGCGCAGATAAAGAAAAATACTGGAAACAAACAACAATTCAGCAAATTATAACTAACCCGAGGAAAGTTTTCAACATCATGGGAGAGTTAAACCACAGTACAATAATTACAATAACTGAGTTGCATCATCAAGATTGGGTTCAGAAAGGAAAACATGCAATAAGATATCCAAAAAGAGAATCAAGGAGCAATCAATGCATCAAAAAGCTTCTCAATGCACTCAGTTCTAATTCACGCTCAAAGAATGCATATAAAGTCGCAACAATATCAGCTTCAGCATCTGCATGGTTAATATTATACTTCTCAATTCAGCTAACAGATAAAAACTTTTAACTTGATAGCTTATCATAGCCAATCCAAAGCTAAGGCACACTACTAAATGTTGACGACCAGCATCAAGCGCCTCAGATGTGCAAAGACACAGAAATAGTGAAGTGTCTAAACACTAAACCTAACGAAGCAGGGGAATACACACATCTTTCAAGTCACAGGCATGCTCATAGAAAAATAATTTGTATTCATGACCACAAAGCAAAACAATGTTATACTCCTTTCATAAGCATTCAACAAAAGCTACAGAGACAGACAAGAGTGTATGAAGATGAACACAGCAAGAGACCAGATACAGGACACCCTTCCAGCAACTTCCCATTTTTTCTGCATCGTCCCAACAATCTCGAACAAGGCTTCTCTTAACACAACTCATTCCAAGCCAGCAGAACCAAAGAATTTAAACAAAATTCATGATTTGCCTCCTCTCCTATTATAACTTAATAGTAATGCATTCTCTGAGGCATCCTTCTGTATTTAGACCCAATAGGCCCAGGAATGATTGGTTGAGTATTTAGTAAGATACTTGATTTAAAACTTATTATAGTCACATATCAACAACACTGCATATCAAATACTTTCTTCTTTTTACTAAAAATGCTTGCCCAGGTTTTAGCATTTTTGTTAGGATTAATAACACATTTTACAACACCCAAAAGATAGCTGCCGGAACAATACAATTGCCTGACTGGTTTTGAATCAATAGAAAGTAATCACAACAATGACAATTAAGTAATCATCTTGAATGTAAAAGATCCTCCAACTCCATAGTCCACTTCAGACAGCAGTCATGGCAAAATGATTTGTATCTTACCAGCATCAAAAGTTTATTTGCGCCATCTGAAATTGCAGCTAGACTGTCATACTGTTCAGGATCAAAATCGTTCAAAGCAGAAGTAAGATATTCACCAGCTGGCGTGGTCTTTACTTTCTCAACACCTGATTTAACCAAAGCAACTGTGCCTTCAGTCTTATCTGAGGCCAAAGGTGAAGGAACAGCTACAGATCGCCCTTTAACATTATTATTATCATTTCTGCAGGAAAATTTAGGAAAAGTTAAAATTTTTAAAATGACAAGAATCAACAAGCTTAGTTACAAAAAATGCTTAGTCAATTACATAATAACTCTGAAAACCAGTTTCAGACAAGTACCTTGCCATGTCACGAGATGTAACCTCTTGTCCTCCAGGGGATGGGCTTGAAACCTAACAAAGATGGACAATGAGGTGAGGTAAGATTTTCTGGCGTCAAGAGTAGCAAACACTAGATGTCCAGAGGTCCAAATATTTTTCAGTGAATAGGATATAGCATGTCAGGCAGCTAAGATTACTTCCATTTCTGAAAGGGGCAGCATTCAGCCATTCAAAATAGCTGTCCCATTTAAAGCTCAAAACTAACATAAATTAATAACAGCTAGTTTGATGATCAGCCAATGACTACAAAAATCCATCTCGGTATCAAGAAGCAGGAATTCAAGCTAAAAAAATTCAGTCATAGAAGTCCACCCCCAAAATAACAAATTAAAGGATGGAAAATTCAACTTAAATTGCAAGATGAATCAGTACCTGCAGTGAACCAGCTGAAGTCGATTTTTCAGTCAATCTGTCAAAAAGTCTCTCATTTTCTTCATGCAACCTCTGCAAAACCAGAGAATTTAACCAATATGCAGGTGACGTGATTTCAACAAGAAAGAGGATCACTCATTCGAAACAAGAAATAAGTATAAACCAAATTGTGTCAAATGTCCAGAGGCAATAAATAAATCGTGTCAATAACAGCACAAGGAGACAAAATTCAAACTTCCAGAATACATTCTATGACACTCAAACTCAATTTCTCATATTTATTCTTTTGCATCTCAGTATTAACCTAGACTTCTGTAGCTTTCTATTAACCATGCATCTCACTATTACCTATTTCTGTATTTTTCTTTTCACCATCACTCAACATTCAGCATACTTCCACTTTTCCCCGTTTTGGAGGCATCTCTTTCCTAAGAGCTAGAGCAGCAGACAGGTCCTACATTGATGGCTATCTGTTAGCCAATATAAAGTTTCAATATGCTAGACCATTTTGGACATTTTGACTAGCACACAGCTCAGAAGTATTTAGCCATGGAACTACATTTTGTATTTAACTTCCCTATGTTCGCACACAAAGTTCATATTGAAACAAATTTAAGTTCCCAATCTCGACCCCATTTCGTGTGACTTGATAAAAATAAGCCTTAAAATGATTACCATGCCAAAGCAAATGGAACAAACTACATCAGCTCTACAGATTTGAAAAGTATGAAATACCTCAATAAGTGCATCCCGTTTCAGAAGTTCCTCTTCAAGTCTTTTAGTAACAGCTGCAGAATCCATATTCTCTCCAGTCATTTGGGGACTTGTTTGCATGTTGGACTTTGATTCTGCACCATTTGTTGGCCTAGCCTCACGGTTATGGAGTGCTTCATTCAGCTGTGACTCAATGCTCTTTATTTTGGCCTAAAACAATCAATTACAAGAAAGACAGAGCAAAATCAGCAGCATCCAATATTTGTATAGCTTCTGTATGCATGAAATCAGATGATTAACCAGTCTATGCATAACTGGAGTCAGAATATCAGAAATAAGCAGACTTGGCTATGAGGCAAAAACAAATCATTGACACAGAGTTACTGAAAAATTAAGAAACCGTAGAGCCCCTGTTTCAACTAAGATGCCAAATCATAAAGAACTAGGCAAAAAACAAAGCATTCTGGTCGGCCATAATCCATGAAAATTGAAGGCAAATTCCAGGTGAAAAGCAACTGCCTTGAGGGAAAGAGGAAATTTAAACGGGACTAATCCATCGACCTGTAAATTTTGAATGGTAGAATCCCGTTCCTGTATCTGTAACTTCTGATCTTGCTCCAACTCTAACAAGTGAGAAACTTGATTCCTAAGCTGGGTATTTTGCTCTTTCTCTATTCTGTGCTTATCAGCAAGCATAATATTCTCTGACTGCAAGAAATAGGAAAAATGAAGCAGTTCAGTGAAAGAATTTTTTGGCATGGAACAAAAAAAAAAAGCTAGTAAGAATAGTTCAAAATGGAACTTAAAAAGTACGTAATTAAGAAAGATACTTCCCACACCACTAAATGAACTCATATCGGTCATTTCAACAGAATTAACAGGCTGAAAACATCACATTGGAAAAGGAAATCATAAACTTCTAAGAAGTCATTGTATTTAGAACGAAAGAAGAAGAGCACCATCCCATGGCCAACCCTAACCACTTTCCGACCGGATGTTAAATTATTGTAACAGATACAAATCTCCTATGCCCATAATGTAAACTCTATATGAACATGAGTTAACATAATGCAACAGATTACATGACTACCTTTCCTGTTTTATTAGGATAAACATAAGTGAATCAAGATCATTCTTTTATATTGCAAGATCAATTAGGACGTGTTGCATAAACATTTCAGAAAGCTAGAACAGCAGCTGATTTTCTTGAAGAACTGGTTCACGGTTTTGAGCAAACAGTAGTTTTTAAAGATATCTACAGCTCCCAAAGGAGTTCAACGGACCAATTAGGCGAAGGCAATGGTTGTTACTATGTTAAAGAGCATATTTTAGGAGGTTAGGCCCTTCGTCCCCACCTTGTAACTTCTCATTCGATTTGTTAAGAACAGGTAAGGCTCCCTGCCAGAACCCCCACCCCCTGGAGAGTAACAGGTGGCATTTTTCTGTTTGTCATATTCTTTGAAAAAAGGAAAGTATTAACTTGGACTGATTCCTCTGCAATTTTGTTGCACTGGCCATAAATCCTGATTCATAACAACATATCACCAGCATATATAATATCCACTTTGATCAAGCGGGACAAATCATTCAAAATGAACCAAAAAACTGAACAAGAGTCTTGAACTTAGTCATTTTACCATTGCATATTTCACATCTAAGTCTCCCCAGAATGAGTTATACAATCAGGTGCAGCAATTTTATCCAAATACAAGAAATCTTATGAATTGGGTCAACTTGGAACCTAGTATAATTCAAGAGGCAAATAGCAGCAATTAGGGCGCTAAGTTTTAAAAGTGGCATGAGTATTGACACAAAGCAGGACTAATTCCTACTTAAACAGTACATCTTATTTGTGACATGACATTGAAGAAGAAAGTTATTATCTTCAATAAGGAATATGAAATAAGACAGCTATGGACATCTGACGACTAACCACCCATTTGGTTGGGGGGTTTAGCACCTTTCAATGGGAATGAGAGGGTAATGATTGGCATTGATGGTGTTTGGTACACCGCTATGGGTTTTTTCATTACCCACTTTAGGTCTTTCATTACCCAATACTCACTATCCACTTATTTGGGCACTTTCACTCCCATTACCAATCAAGATAAAAACAAAAACAAACTAAAAAATAGGGAAGGAAGAGGACAAACAGCAGCATCTAATCTCCAACTTCTCCTATCTTGCCTCCCCCCTTTTGTTTCATCCTAATCTCTCTCTCCAGCCTTCTTTCTCCCTCTCTATACCATACAATTTCTCCCCCTTTTCTCTCTCAGAAGAAGTTTTGGTGTGATGAGATTTTTTTATTTTTTAGTAACAATTTTGAATTTAAAGTTTGTTGGATTGTTGTGTAATACCAGAGATCATTGTATCTAGCAGTGTTGAAGACAATGAGAGGTCGGATAGGTGGAGGTGGCAAGGGCAAAGGGATGAAGAGGACCACAAAAAACAAGGAAAGAAGAAGACAGAAAAGGAACAAGAGCAGGAAAATGAACAACAAAGATTGGGAGATCGGTCAGCAGCATGCAAGAAGCAAAAACAGAGAAAAAAAATGGTGGTGGTCAAATGGGCTGGAGATGAAGAAAAAGAAAGAAAAGGACAATAATTTCCTTTTCTTATGCAAAAAATCATTGCCACCAAACACAAGATTCCATCAAAAGGAATCTTCACAAACCCATTGTAATTGAGGATGTCTTCCATAATGATTGTCATTGTCATTCCTTAGTAGTGACCAAATGAGTGGTAAATCTCCATCTTGTTTAAAAAAGCTCTGGCGATATGCAACTGACAGGAATAATAGCCGTCCATATGAGCAAAAAAATTTCCAAAAAAGAAAAAAAAAACTCTTGATCCTCTTGGTCCTGCTGTCCCTTGGTATAGTTTGGTGTGGGGGAAAAGCATGTGCCTAGGCTCTCCTTTATTCTATGGTTGACATGTAAAAGAAGAATAAACATAAAGGATAGACTTCTCTCTTGGGGTATTGAAGTGGATGTTAGGTGTGTTTTGTGTGGGTCTGCTCCTGAAAATACAGATCATTTATTTTTCTATGTCAATATTTATGCAGTATGGGAATGTGTTCAAAAAAGCTGTTTCCTTTATAGGATTGCAGCTCATTGGAGAGAAGAGTTAGCATGGTTCACGCAGCATTGCTCAGCAAACTCTTTTTGTTTTGTGTTACTGCACTTGCAGCAACAGTCTATCATTTGTTGACGTGGAGGAATAAAAAGGTATTCAGGGATGTGCTTGTTCTTACCGAGCATGTGTTTCATGAGGTGCTTGCTGATATTAGAGGTATAGCAGCCAGATGGAATCGTGTAGCAAGGATACAGCCAAATGTGGACTTGTGTACTGCACTTGGGATTCACTTTAATGTTTTCCAGTTAGCTAGGTAGGTTCTGTATATGTTTGGGTTTGTTATTGTATTCCTGGTAAGAACTAGATGTATTGATTGGGGTACTCCCCCTTCTGGGTATACTCTTTATTGCTGATCAATGGAAAAAAAGGAAGCTTACCAAAAAAAAGACAAAAAACTGAATATAGGTGGCACTGTTTTTTTTGGGTCCTATTCTTTGGGAAAAAAAGAAGAAAAGATTAACTTGGACTAATTCCTCTGCATCTTTGTTGCACTGACCATGAATCCTGATCAGTGACAACATAACACCAGCACATACGATATCTACTTAGATCAAGTGGGACAAATCATTCAAAATGAACCAAAAAACTGTACAAAAATATCAAATTTAGTCCATCGCACTTTCCACATATAAGTCTCTCCCTAGAATGAGTTCTACAATCAAGTGTAGCAATTAATCCAAATACAAGAAATCTTATGAATCAGGTCAACTTGGAAGCAAGTACACTTTAAGAGGCAAATAGCGAGAAATTGGTTTGCTAAGTTTTAAAAGTGACACAGTATTGATGCAAAGCAGGCTTAATCCCTAATGAAATGGTACATCTCAGTTGTGTGATGATATTGAAAAAGAAAATGATTATCTTCAGTAAGGAATATGAAATAAGAGAGCTATGGACATCTGACAACTAAATCTCCATATTGTTTAAAAAAGCTCTAGCAATATGCTACTGGCAGGAATAAAAGCCTTCTATGTGAGCCAAAATTTTCCAAAAACCAAAAATTCCACCAACTATACAAGTAAAAAACACTTGAGTTCCTCAAAGATCAGGTTGATGAGAAGCTCTATAAGACATGCTAACAGCAATGATGCTAACATTTGAAGAAATAAACTGCACATTTTAGCATTTGACATTTTTTATGATTTCTCAACAGGTTGAATACTCTTCCAAATACGGTTTCTGAGAGTGTGTACAGGATTGAGGACTTTTGGCAAGAAAAAGATTTCATGTTGTATTTTGGTGTTTGAGTTACACGAGCTTTTGCTAAGGACCAAAAACCAAAAACACCTTGCCATGGAAAAGCAATTTCCGCCTACCAAGTTATTTAGCTCTTCCTAATAAGTTTGACATTCACTTGATTGCATCAAAACAAACCACAAACTTCCAACCAGTCCCTTTATGTGCTTTCACTTTTGCAGATAGTAGTCACCAAAAGGAGAAAGTTATAAATAGCTCATTTTGTACAATAAGCCAAAGTTATTGCTAAATGGCAATGAGAAGTCTTAAATAGAGAATGGAGAAATGTGGGGAAGCATGAGAATGAACCTTTAAATCAGATTGAAGTGTAAAAGAAACTTTCCAAGCTTTCTGAACTTCATTAAAAAGAAGGACGCACTGATCATTTGCATGTTTTAGAGCTTGTTTAAGTCCCAAAACATCTTGCTTCAAGTTGCTGATCTCCGTCTCTTTTTCATACAATTCTTTACGTGCATCATTTGCCTGCATGCACATTGGCGATCAGAAGAAGAAACTGTATAAATATGGATTATCGTGATCCTGATACCAGTTCTTGTACAAACCACAACTATTAGATCATGGTATGGTCATGCTTCTGTTTAGGCATGGAGTGATCAAACTTGTCTTTGTATCATGAAAGGTTTTCCCTTTTCCCTTTCTCCCCTCCCCCGTTGGGTTACCAGATGAAAATCTAACTACAGGCCTTCCCATTCTCTACCTCTCCCATCTTCAAAGATGACTAATAAATGGTTAAAGCAATGTTAAAAAGCAACACTTTGTCAGTTCAGAAAACAAAAAAATATTTGAAGATGTCTTACAATATCCCTCCATTTCTTAATCGTATCTCGATTTCCCAGGCTGAGAATAGAGTTTCGGGCTCTGGCAGCAAAGTTAAGGGATGACAGTGTCTCAGTCAAATTTGCAGCATTTGGAGAGACGTTAACAATTACCAAGCTTTTCGAGCTTCCACCTAGATTGTCAACATAACATAAGTTAGAGCTGGTCTAACATTGATATTTCATGGGCAGACAGATAAGAACTCATTGTTGCAGCCCAGTAAACAAAAGTGCTAACTATAATGTACAATTGTGCAAAGTATCTAAATTATTATTAATTACCAATAAAAAAAGTCACAAACAAAATGTTGGATATCCATATTGTCAAGTAACTGAGAAGGTTATCAAATATTAGCAGAATAATTAAGATGTGCAAGACACATCGGTGGAAAAAAGTTAAGAAACAAAAAGGTGTCTTTACAGTGATGTTGGTTCTCTTGTGGACAACCAGGAAGAACCATCATGAGAAAGAGAAAGTAGAAAATATTGATAATATATATTCAAATCCATCAGGCAATTTTGTCATGCAGTGAGAATTCTTCACCAAATTAGTTCCACAACAATGATTAAAAGGTACTCTCCAGATTATTTTATCCGCTATGATGTGGTACAAACTTAGGCAATTTTGTGCAATTTTTTCTCAAAAGGCTCTACTTGACTCTGAAACAATCACTGGAGTGACACTTAAATGCTTGTCATGGTAGAAGTCCCAAAAGCACTTGGATCAAATCTTCCATTCATTCTGAAATGTTTTTCCATATACACACTTCAGATATACCTTTAGATGTCATTTTCTGCTTCATGAGCTCTTCCTGTTTCCTGCCTATATTTGTACTTCTCATAAGTGTCCTACAACCTCTACACCTAAGATGAGCCTCTTAATACTATTCCTTTTTGAAGGCTCCAGAATGGCGAGCGGTTTGGTGTGCTACTCATTCATGTATATATATGTGATAATTACCAGCCCCATGGTAGTGAAAAAACACGTCTACCACATTCATGCCTTGTACAAATCGTCATCATCATATCTTATTCAACAGTTTGACTGCAGACAATAATCCCTGACCTCAATATTGTGTCCCAGGAGTATCCAAGTGTTATATCACAGTATACCATGTTAATTCCCGTCCAAGTTTATGTTTCCTGTATGATTCAGGATAAAGGAATATCTTTCAAGATCCTCCCTTTCTCCCTCCATCTCTCTGATTGACTTGTATGAATACTATTGGTTTACCCATCTCTTCCACCTAGGCAATGCTTCTGAATAACTTTCAGAAATTTAGACAGTCCAGCAAAGTGTTTGATGAGATTTCAAAAAGTTATGCAATTTGGGGGGCAGTTATGTTCTCCAAGTATGCTTAGGCAGGTTGTGTGGCATTTATGAGGTTGTCATTAAACAGTTCTCAGAATTGGTGTCTTCTAGTCTGCAGCAGGAACCCTATATCCCTGTAAAGAATTCTAATTGAATGATATGAATTATAAAGAGAATGCTTGCTTTCAGATACGCCTTTTGGAGTAAGTTTCTCCTCATGGACCTTTTCTGGAGTGGAAATTAAAATTAGGGGTTGGTGGCAGAGGTCAATGGAGATGGCAGAAGTGGGCAACAGAGATTACCATTTGCCATTGGTACAGTCAGAAGCTAGTTGTTTTGAATTGGCATGGAGGTTATCCAAATACAACATTCTTTTTGCTCATAAGTGAACAGATTGTATTCTGCTTACTTTTTCTGAGATGCAATCTATACCCTGCCAAATTCAACTAGAACAGCTGTTTACCAGCCCAGGCTTATCAGTTGTGCCAAATAAGGACTTTGCTACAAGCAAATGTATTATACAAAAGAGAAAAAATACCTAGTGAATCTGCAAGTAATTTTGTGAGCACTGAATTTCCATAAGGAACTGTTTCCTTATTGGATGTTAAAGAAGCCAAAACATCTCCCAAACTGCACAAACAAGGACAAGCATAAGAAAAGCTGAAATGCGTCAGTTTTCCTAGAAAAAATAAATTTATGGTAACAACCAATAAACCCTCTGCTCTGTAAGAAATAATACATACGCTAACTAACAACAGTCTTTGTTATCTCAAGCACCAAACAGAACAATCACCAGTTATCAAGAGTCCTGCCTAACCCAGTGACCAACAATACATGCAGACACTGAAAAGAACTCAACCTAAGAATTAAGTTACCATGAAATGTGCACTTGTTCACCAGACAACATACAAACAACAAAAAGGAGAGAAGGAGCTAGTTACAACTAAAGATAGTGAATGCAGGAATTAGTTTAGGACATCAAAATTTTGAAAGTATAATGTAAAACATTGATTTTAGTTTGATCCATACATGGCAGAGTTGATAAGCAGCAAGGTTGCACGTTAGATGTTCTTTCACAAGGGAGAATTGAAACAATGAGGTTATGCTGAAAACAAGGCAACTAAATATACGAAGTACATACGCGGAGAGTGATTTCATGGCATGCAGCAGGTCTGTCACACGTTCTCCACTATCATCTTCAACATTGGAACTTGCACTTCCAGCCAAATCAACAAGAGAAAGCTTGCTATATAAGTTCTCACCCGTAATCAAGTTGTCATAATATATATGCACAGTGATGACCCTGAGGAAGGAAATGAGAATTCTCAAGAGAAAGCTAGACAGTAGAATACAACTGAACATAGATGTTTCCTGAAGCCCCACGTAATTCATACATCAAATACAGCAACAAAATTGCATAAGGATCGAAAGACAGCTTTTTGTAAGTCCAAGAAGTTTCTTCAGGCCAGTCAAAGAGTGCTACACTTAATCATTACTTAAGAAGCAAAAAGGGAATGATTTAGTCAACATATCAAGGAAAATGTTCAAAATACCTCAGGATTATCAGTAGAAGGAAATTGGACCCTAACATACCATATTCCAAAAGTACTGTCTAAGTGGAGAAATAAACGAATCCTGGTTGAGTAACACGTTATTGCTGCTGACCAATTACTCATCAGAAGGGATGATAATGGGCAGGGAGCCTTCTTGAATCCCTTTCCCTACTAGTAAAGTGCGTGACACCACTTAGACAACCCCCCCTCCCAAAGGGAAAAAAAAAAGCACTCAGAGTTGACAACAACCCCTGAGTTTTGGTTGCTAGATACCATCACAGTTTTGAATATTTGATATGATTATTTAATATTTCCAAATGTGAGTCAAATATAAAAAAAAAAATTCTGAAGATCTAATGCCAAATTTGAACTGAAAAACTTTTAACTCAAAATGAAAAACAACATAAAATAACGAGAAAGCATATATTAACACAAACATGCAACAAATAGAGTGAAACCGTTACTTGTACAACTTAAATGTTAAATATTTCTACATACAGATAAAATGAGGAAAATCAGCCCTGATGCAGAGACCAACAACCACTCCCATACCCCTAGCCACTTAAAAGTGGAGAGTTTTGGCTCCTAGACCTGCCCTAACTACCAGATGTCAAAGAATTACATAGAAATCAAGCAACAATACCCAATGTATCAATTTTGTGCTGTTCCTTCAATAGTAAAAGCGTCTTAAAGTGCATATTTAATCATTGGTCACTAATCGTTCCAGGATTTCCATAATTTATGCCAAAAGAGAATTGATGGCTTTTAACAAATCATTCAAGATGATCTTTGATTTTTTTTTTTTCTTTTTTCAAAAAAAGGGTAGCAAGGGGAAGACCATGGTGAGTAAAAAAATCAAGCCATAAAAGGAGCATGCATTGGTAGGGAAATAGAACTATCACAAATTTGAAGCTAGACCATACAGATGAGAGACGTTAAACTTTAATACATCGGTTCCTCGGTTCTGCAATGCCACTTTGAGGACTCGGGTGAAATCAATTGGATTCTCAACTTTTTCCTGCACAAGTTCAGCAACATAATCTGTGGAGCCCATCTGGATCTTTGGAAGACCACTCTGAGATTCCAAAAGCAAATCTCTAATCTACAGAATAATGGTTACTGAATGTCAAGTATTGCTAAATAGAAGTCAATATTTAAAATAAGCAATCCAGAATGGTCAAGGAACCTGTTCATTGAAAAGCCCAAAAGCCGTGAGAGAGAAATTAAATTTTGAGGTAGAAGTTGTATCTGAGTTGGATAAATCAAACAGCTCCTCAAAGCATCGAGCATATAGGCCACGATCATGGCTAGATCCTTCCTGCGGACAAGACCTTGCAATCAGAAAGCAGTTCATCATAGTATTAACCCCCCAGGTAGTGCTTTTCAGCACAAAAACATCAGGTTACAAACATCTTTATGCGGTCATGTTTGTTCAACATAAGCATACAACAGTATGCTTAATCAAGAAAGTGTCCTTATAGAATTATTTACAAGTCAAAGCAATTTAATGATGATGTGTACCATGTATGGATGAAGAACCCGTTAACCCGAGATTTAAAAAAAAAACACAGGGTGAGACATAACTGCAATACCCTACACAGAGAGAGAGAGAGAGAGAGAGACCATAGTATGTGTCTTTCCTGACTGCGTTTGTCCATAAGCAAATATAGAAACATTATACCCATCAAATGCCGACTGCACAAATGGCTGAACATCAGCGAAAAGTTCAGCTGCAGAAAGGAACATCACAGTGACTTAACATTCCAGAGTGTTAGACGAAAACAAATAAAAGCTAGTAATAAGGTCCACTACCTTGTGCAACATGAGGACCATAAACCCTGTCAAACTCAAAATCCTTCTTTGGATTGGAGACGTTATCATCACCAGTATTGACACGAACAGTACAGTCATCCGGAAACTCAACAACTGATGGACCTTCATCTTCAAAAAGTGGTCTTGCACGACAATATACCTTAATGCTTCCTGAAACAGTACATCCAGCCTAAATCTCACATCAATTTAGTAAAATATTCGTCCTATTATATTTCTTGTTCCCATTTTTTGTGCATGTGTGCCCACAGGGAATGAATTGTTTGTGAATAATGACATCTCTCTCTCTCTCTCTCTCTCTCTGTTTGCCTGTCTATCTCAAAAAGGAGTCTGCACGACAAAATACCTTAATGCTTCCTGAAACAGTACATCCAGCCCAAATCTCACATCAATTTAGTAAAACACTTCTCTCATTTTCTGTCTTTTTCCCATTTTTCGCTTTTTTTGTTGTTCATATGTACCCACAGGGGACGAAATTGTTTGTGCACGCGTGTGCATGTTTGTGCCACTCTCTCTGTATTTATCATTTTCGCCCATCTTCCCCTGATTTTGTGCATAGGCGTCAGTGACAAAAGGAGTCCAGAGGCCACTCAAAATCCTACCTTTAGCAGTCAATAAGTCATTAAACAATTTTTTCTTCTCATATATCAGAGGAGACATTCTAGCTTCCATTTCAACCGCAGCCTGATCTGAAAATAATTCATGATTAAGAAACCAAATCACCCACGAAGATATGCAGGCAAACAAGAATGGATAAGCTACAGCTCTGATGTAGAAAATATGCAATCAGATGAAACAAGACCTGCCAAAGCCTATGAATAACCATTTACCTAGTTTACGAGTTTTATCAGCAAGTACACCTAGATATCGCATCAAGCGATCCATTTTTGCATTTGAGTACTCTTGAAGATCAACGGCTTCTTGTCTAAGCTCCATGTAATCCTCTCTCACATGCTGCTCAAAAATGTTTATGTAGATTGCCAACAGAAAGTATTAGAATATTAGCAGAAGCCAACAACATATTCAAGCTGAAACAACACAATCAGAAATGCAAGATTTTAGAACATCACAGATAGGCCAATAATTGTTTCAAACATGCACTTCATTAACTAAATTCCAAGCCTGACAGAAGGTATATTACTTCCTCAACAGCAGTAACAGACACTAGCATTAGCTTAGAGTCTTTAATGCTGTTTTGAATGCCAACAAAGAGAAAAAACCAGAATTCCAAAATATTACAAACTAGAATGTCCGTACTAGTCCACATCAATGCATGCCATAAATTACTGGCTTAATATTAACAGGTCTTGCCAAGTCGAACTCCAGCTGAATGCATACTAAAACTCCAATTGGTAAAGTTGATATTGCAAAGGAGAGAGCTACTTATATTTTTCCTTCTGCCAAGCTTCAAATATGGTCTACATTGTAAAGCAGATCTAAACTATTTTATTCTTTTGCAACCACAGAAAAAGTAAAATTCTTTGCTGAAAGGAAAATAAGCAAAGATTGCAAGAAATAGATATTGCCATTATAGCCTAAATTTCCAATTATAGAGAACTAGATAAGGCAAATTGACAGAAAAAAAATCATATAACTCATGCCTACCTGGCAATGTGTTATAATTTGTTCTGAATTTCTCTGTTATAATTTGCTATAGTTTTTCTATGAACAAAAACGAAGTATGATTTTCCTACTTTGAATTTCCTTTCTCACCAGTCATAAAAATTCTCCATTTGTTGTTTCTGCAAACAAGTCATCAAAAGCTTATAGCAGGTTAGATGATTTGACTTCCAACACAACCATTACTGCCCAACAACTTATATTCAACTTCCTCAAGAGGAAGTTGATTTTCTCTAGTATGTACAGACTTAGTTGATTTTCTCGACAGCTACTAGGGTTGGACAAAAATGATTAAAAACTATTGTTCCAGGTCAATAACCTCTTCTCTCATCTTTGTGTGTGACACAGTAAAATAGAGATGATATGTATGACCTTATAGATTTTAAGCATTAAAAGTAAATGAAATGTCACAAACTCATCTATTCCACCATGGGCAAACTCCTTCACCACACCCTTCTATTCTTTTTTACAAGTCTTTTCATGGTGTAAGGTATAGTTTAGCCTCATTCAAGTTCAAGAAGAAGAAAGGGAAAAAAAATCTGTTGATGAGACATAATGATCAAAAAGACTAACAACAATTGTCTAAAGTTATTAGGCTGAGAACATCTATATCTCTCAATAATGCATCAGTGGAGTGTGTATCGTATCAACTGCAAAATTACACAATAATAACCAATGTTTACTGGTTCATTATCAGTGGTATGGACTTGTCTGTGATCTTGGCTTTCCATTCTTTAAGAATACTAGACTGAATGTATTATGGAATCACTTAGCTGAAACTACAGTAGTGCAAAGGTATTCCTATTTCTTCTTGTTGGAGTTTTCTGATATTTGCAATCCTTGCTTGAGCTATCACTCCAGCAAATCAATTAGAACAGAAATTTCTATTGTGAAAGGACCCATGCATGCTTTTCACCATATTTACCATGCCAAGCTTTGAATGTTCAACTATATCTAAAAAAAAAATTGAAGAGAATGTCAATCCTGCAACACAGCATTGCCCTTTAAGAAGTTCAGAATTTAGTACCAAATTCTATTATTAATAAAGTATTTTTCTTATAGGAACTGCAGTACATTTTAGCAATTTCTTCCCTCTCCCTTTCTTTGGTTAGATTCTTTACATATATGATATATCCAACACCCGCCAGAAATCTAAAAGAGAGGGAATATCCATATAGTTGTAATCTTCCTAATGAGTGGGCCATTCAATTTAATTTGGAGTGCAGATTCTCTATAGTATAAGAGATGCGCTGTGTTATGTCACCCAGCAAGGAAATAGATTAAAGATTGCTGCTGGAACAAATACCACAATGAAGATCAATTACATTTCAAGTAGAACTTTGCCAGATCTGACTCATGTCCAGATTGAAAAATAATGTCTTCTGACCATACAGCAACTTTTGCCAAATTTTTTCTTGAAATGGTTATTAAAAACATTGCAGTCCTTTCAACTAACCGAAAAAGTATATGCCACCGCCAAGATCATCTCATGGCTTAACCATGAACAATCGCATATTGAAGTGAGGTGGCAACCATCCAATCCTGCAAAATTCAGCAGCAACTATCTACAAATGGGACACCCCCAGCTCACAACAACCTTTAAGCATTAAATGAAAGCCAAAATAGATAAGGCAAAAAAAGAATTACAACTCCCCAGTGACTGCTATTCCCAAGTATACAATCTCCAGCCAGTTTTGATAATGCAATATTGCTATACAAGGTTGCTCGTACTATAATTCTTTACTAAGACTACCAGGGCTACAGCCATTGCTATGAAAATTACATGAAACAAAAATAGTAAAAGTATTTCACAAGCAGTTGCCTCAGTCCCTTTGCATCTAAACTATCTCCAGCTGCCTACTGCAGCCATGCTGAAACTAAAATTCACAACTAAAACCAGGTAAAGTTCGTCATTTTGGCGCCTTAAAGAGAACTCTAAAATCTTCCCCAGTTGCCCCATCACTGTTTGGGATAATCGTCACCCTACACTTCATCTCAATAAGAAAGAATTCTAATAACGTTGTCAAATCCTATATGCCCACACACTGTTCAGTATCAAACCACCACTAACAAGTTTTATTTTCCTCACTGTTATCAAAAAGATAATCAATTTCTTGCTACAAACTGAAAACCTCTATTCTCAACGACTTCTCCTCCAAATTAGCCCAAAAAAAAAAAACGCATCTTTGGTACAAGAACTCCTAGAAATAACTACTAGCATAACGGAGTTAACTACTAATTTGTCAACACAACAACTCACTAGATGGACAAAAACAGCAACAAAATCACAAATTTCCAAGTACATTGCCGCAAATCGTCATAAAAGCATTAAAACTCGCATAATCTTCATCCATTATTGAACGTGAAAAACAACCGAAAACAAAAAAAGTTGAACTAAAAAAGTGAGACCTCGACTTTATCCTTCAGTTTGAAAAGCTTGGAGCTGAGAGCATGCTTGGAGAGCTCAGAATGCGTCGAAAATGAAGACGTAGAAATCGAGTACCTCCGAGCCAACAGCGGAGGTCTCTGATAATGATCCTCCCGCTCCGGTGACTTCCTCGGCGGCTCAAACCCCGTCACCTCCCAGTTCCACCTTCCTTTCTGCTCCGCCATCCAATCCAGTTCTAATTTACACCAATAATTTACAAATTCGAATCAAAAATTCACAAATGAAGTTAAATAAAAGAAACAATAATGAGAGATTGAGAATGTGGAATTCTCTCTCCCTCTCTCTCTCTCTGTTTCTCTCCCCCCCTCAGCACTGCTCAGTTTCTCTCTCTAGCTTTTGTGGAGTATTACTGGTCACTCAAATGAATTCCCTCTTTGTGAATTTCGATTGCTTTTAACTCTTTTTTATTTCATTTTATTTTTTTGCCCTTTAGTTTTAGAAGACGTTGAAAACGACGACGTAAGAAGTTCGAGGAATTTGCATTTTTGTTGGGCTGGGCATGAAAAAACGACCGCGTAAGAGGAGGTCGAGTGATTTGTTTAGTGGACACTTTTAAGCTTTGGTAGTCACAAAAATTTTAGCGCTTCGGATAATTTGAGGACTCGCTCTCAATCTTTCATCACCGGGATGGTACCTTTTGCTGCATGTGGTGTACCTTTGTGCTTTGCTTTAATTCTTGTTCCGAGGGAGAGTTTTTTTTTTTTTTTTTTTGAAAGTTGTTCCGAGGGAGAGTTAAATTGGAGTACTTGATTCAGAGTTGATGAACAGCAAGCAAATTTCCTCTCAAGCAAGTTTGACTAGCCTCCCCAAGAATTTGAGTTTTGGTCTTGTTTGGATTGCTATCTTCTGAAATTTTTGTAGAAAAAAATACTGTAATGATATGACGTACGTGAAATAAAAAAAATATTTAAAAAATATATTCATGGAAAATATTTAAAAAAATTTTGAAAAAAAAAAAAGGCTTTCCAAGCAAACATGATTGGATGTTACAATGTGTCATAGCAAACCATAACGTTGCTTAACTATCTTTCTGCCACCTGCTTTTATGCAGATATCAATAATGTGCCTTGAACTGTCTCCGTTGATGTTATCATTTCTTGACCAAATTGCTACAATTTGAAACGCTAATTGGAGGTTAAAAACATGTTAATCTAATCCGGGATCAGATTTGAGGAAATTTTTGTATTTGTCAAAGTCTTCGATTTCTTTTAATCTCTGTATGAAAACATAATAGGGGTTGTCACCAAGAACAGATTTGAGTTGCTAAACAATAGACTCTCTGAACTTGCTTGAGAGAGCCACTCCATTTTACAATTCATCATATTCCGTATCATATAAATAGAGTTGCAGATTTGATGCCTTTCACCATTGCAAGGCCTTAATTATGGACTGACAAAATGATACATCTGTTGCTGCACTCAACCCGTTTAGATGCCATAATGTTTTCCTGCTTAGCTCTTTGTCATTGCTAACTCATAAGGATGTAATTAAAGCAAACATATTGTTATAACTCCTGATACATTGCCTAAATTCCCTAGATTTAAGAGTGTTTGCTTTATAAAGCTGCAAGAGTTTATCTGGCATCTTTTTTTTTTACTGCCAAACGGACTATTTCTGAATGCACAACAAAATCTTGACGGTTTCGTATAAAAGCGTTTAGCATGGCTTGATTCATATAATGGGCAGCAAGATACTTGGTTGTGCTGAAAATTGGCCACTGCAACTTCAGCTATAATACTGATGGTGGAATAAATGAAACTGGAAACATTCATTTCAATAGTTGAGTGTCCGATGGCTATGGAAAACCTATACCAATATGAATAGGAGAAGACAGCTACTGAATAATGATGTCAAATGATGGTGAAAGTGAAAATGTTTTCTATGACTGCATCATTTCTTGCAGGAAGGCAGATTATATGCCTAACAGAGTCAAGATTTTGATATTCACTGTCTGAATAATAAACGTAGAGAAAAAGATACGTGAAAGGGTGAAGGATAGCAGCACTACATCTGTTGTATTAGAAATTGGCATGACAGGGCAAATGGAAACAGGAGCAAGCAGACTCTTTTTTTATTAATCAATAATACTAGTAGTATTTTGAGCTTCATCGATCGAAACAGACTCTTTTTTTGTGTCTGGCTACGTCTGCAGCATATCTTTCTCGTCGTCGTCCACGATTTCTTTCTATACAGCTTTTATCGTGGGAGCAAAACTTGCGCTTTCGAGACGTATCAAATAAGGCTAGCTCATATGGGATAATGCATTTTATAATCAATGCTATTGATAGTTGCATATGTTACTCAAGCAATAATTAGGTGAACAGAAATGGTGGTTACGATAATACGAAGGGTTAAAAGCAAATAAGCCCCCTGTGGTATACATAATACACAAAAAAAATCTTCCGTGGTTTCAAAACATGCAAAACGACGCCTCATGTTTTGAACTAAATTGTAAACTAACACAATTCGTTAAAGTTAATAGAATCCGATAAATTTAACGGAAAATTTAACGGAATTCGATAAACTTAATGGAATCCGGTGAGTTTAACGAATTCTTTTAGTTTACAATATAGTTCAAAATATGAAGTGTCGTTTTGTATATTTTGAAACCATGAGGGGTTTTTCTGTGTATTAGGTATACCACGTGGAGTTTTTTTGTTTTTAACCCTAATACAAATGACAATCATTATAAAGCCACAAAGCAATGAAAGGAATCTTGCATTAGTAGCAATAAAGGAACCTTATATCAAGTAATAATTGTGACATAAAATGATATGGAGTTTCTTTTACGTGATACATACAAGGTATAAAGCATTGAAGGTAGCAGTAGAGGGCACAGGAACTTCAATAAAAATGTACAAGCATTCATAATAAATCCAGAAGAGAGAAATAGGTAGGGAAAAAAAAACAAGAATAACAACAATGCCCACGATTGCTAGAAAATAAACTACGATAAGGTGATATGTTTTTACATATAAAGAAGGCATACATGCAAATACATGCAAGCCAAAAAAGAATAGAAAGGACAAAGCAATCACATGCATCAGTGATCTACGATAAACAGATGGTAGACATATTCATTAGGTAACAGGGCAACTCCAATCCTGAAGGTAAATAAGTAAGTATTTTATGGTGATCAAGAGGATTTTAAGAACTGAAATGAATAGCCACCTATACAATCCCAAAAGAAAAAAAAAAGGAAAAAATTTACAATGGAATTTAGCTGCAAAACTAAAATGGTAACATAGTGAAAAGGCTTAAATGCTGCTGGAAACATGTTTGAAATTTAAAAACAAAAATGGGAAACAAAGCAAGGTGTTCATGAAAATGCGAGCATTCATAAAAGTTAAAGGAAGAGGGGGGGAATATGCATACTCAATATTTTTGTTTCCTTATGTAAAGCAGGACACATGAAAGACTAGCAAAGGTTGTCAGATATGATGGTCGAACTCTATTTGGCAGTCAAACAAGAAAATGCAGTTAGGAAGAAAGGCGCGGGAAAGCAACGGTTATATCGAATACAAAGCAAGGGAGTACTGTAAACAAATAGATAGACGAAGGAATTAAGGCAAAAATTGCGATGCAATATTGCAACATGAAGTAAAACTGAGAAAAGAGATATAAATGCATGATCATAAACAGAAGAAATAAATAAGGGCGGATAATCATAGGCTATATATGCATCTCTGATCAGGTAATAGCAGTCAAAAGGAAGGAAGAAGAAATAAGTCACTAATGCAACAAAAGTATAAATTTCAGTAGTATACAAACCATGAAACTAAATATAAAACAAGTATAAAGCAAAACAAAAAGATTCTTACAGATAAAAGTAAGAATCAGAAAACAGCAGCTTACCAACTGGGAGATACAGAACAACGAAAGAGAAGATGAAAAGTGAGCAGCAGTGAAATAAAGTACAAGAAAGTTAGGTGAAAATATATAGATACTGTAATAAGCAATAAGAAACGTAATTATGACCAATGAACTTTGAAATCTGTCTCTAGCAGAGACCCAACAAATGAGAAAGAAGATGGAGCGTATTTAACTATGATCAATGGCCATAAGATAATTTGAGTACCAAATAAGCAAATGGGCACATTTGATGCAGATTATAAATTAAAAAGAGTTGATGTAAGAAAAGTTTTGAAAGAAACGGTGCACAACATTTATTTTTTGTAAATGGAAGGTTTTAAATTCTAAAAACCTCCTATTTATAATTTCTCTAATCTTACCGTTCAAGACTCAATCCTTCTTCCAAGGGTACACAATGTAATTGCATGGGAAAGACAAACAAAGCAATAATACTGGGTCAATAGAGCACACACAAATATAGGGAAGAAATGTGAAAATCAAACAGTAGGAAAAGACTGTGCCATAGAAAACTAAAGTACAAAAATATATAATTAGAGTCAGAGAATATTTATCTATATACCAAAAAAATCCATACAAATAACAGAAGGGGACGTAGAGGCCCTTGGAAAATATATTAATACCATACAGTATATTTTTTTTTTTTGAAATGTTCACATAATTTGTTGGTCATGGGGCTGGAATTGGAGTTGTGGTAAGAGACCATCAGGACAAGTGGAGGCTTTAATGGCTGAGAGGCTTTCTGAGGCCCTTAATGCAGAGCATGTGGAATGCTTGGTTTTTCTTAAAGCTTTACAGATTGCCAAAGATTTTGGTAGTTCTCATCTTATTCTAGAAGGGGATGCCTTGGGTATTGTCCAGAGAATCAATAGTACAAGTCCTGTCTGACCGGTGTTAGGTAACTTGATCAGAGGCATTAAAGATATGCTGAAGGATTTTTGTTACATACGAATTTCACGTGTAAGAAGGAAGAACAAATATGTTCCTACTTATTTATTGATTCATTTGTCTCTGTCACTTGAGGGAAGTCATGTTTGGTTTGTAAACTTTCCAAAGGAGATTATGTAGGCTGCAAATGTAGATTTACTTTAATGAAATTTCATTTTTTATTATCAAAAAAAAAAAAAAGGACCTGCACTCTACTTTTATTAGGTTTTCCTTCTCTAACCTAATTTATGGGATGTCCAATTGGACCTAGGAGTCGACGAGAATACTGTTGGATCAGACAATTCACTGTTACCAATAGTTGGCTAATGCTTCTGTGCTTTAAGATAAGAAGAAGAAGAAGATTAGGTCGAGATAAGATAACTAGATAAGGAGAGGGAGCTTTTGTGGACCTCATTAGTTAGTTGCTGGATCATTCATTGGCTGGTTGTGCACGGGCTGGGATCATGTGACTGGTTGGAGTAGGCCCTGTTGGTGGAGGTCTGGAATTATATGGTTAATTTCAGTTTGGTCATTCAAAGTAATCCAAATTCTCAGTTTAATCACTCAAACTTAGGAATATGATTGTTTTGCACATCAAAAAAATCATTCCAACCAAATGGACCCAAAATTTTGTTTAGTGACTTCATATTTGGTCTTAAACTTGGGTTTGCCTCTCTTCTTTTTTCATAAAGAATTACCATGCACACAAAATCAGTTACAAATTTATTAGTAGAATAAAGGTAATTAAGCTATAGAAGAAACCTCGAAATTATTTTGTGTGGTTAAAATTTGTAAGTGACAAAAAAAGAAAACCGGGGACTAAAATGTCTCAAACTCTAATTTGGAGAGTATGCTTGCTCAAGATAGATCTGCTGTTACTTTTCCTATTTTGTCTCTACGTTTCAGAGCATATCCTATGCATTAATTCCTACCATTATGGAACCAAAATTTGCGTTTCTACTACGGAATAAAGTATTCAAATTAATTTTTTATGCATTGAATTCATCATTTTTGTCTCTTTTCTCACTTTAGTCTGCATATTTTACAATAATTCAACTCATTTAATTTAGAAAACTATAAAAGATAGAAGTTTAAAGTTTTAGATTTTGATGAGTGCAAAGTTTCCTACTCTTTGGCCTTTACATACTTTTTGTGCTTCGTCTCAAAGAACCTCTTCTTATAGAAAACCATATAAAGGAAAGAATCCATGAGTAGTAGACATACTCTTAAATCCCTTGTGTTGATACCGTTATTTGTCTTGGTAACCTGTAATGCATTTGAAGATTTTCTTCATTGCATATCCACCAGTTCCAAAGAAAACATTGGCAAATATGTTCACAAGCCTAATTCTCCAGAGTACTCATCACTCCTGAAATATGCCCAAAAGATTTCAAGATGGTCAAATTCAACATCTGCGTTCCCTCTTTTTATCGTCACACCATATCATGAGGCCCAAATAAGAGCCATTATTCTTTGCAGCAAAAAGCTTGGTTTACAAATCAGAGTCAAGAGTGGGGGACATGACTATGAAGGCCTCTCATACCGCTGTCGATCCCCGTTCATCATGATTGATCTATGCAATCTCAAATCCATTAACATTGATCTGGTAAGTGAAACTGCCTGGATTCAGACTGGGGTAACTCTAGGCCAACTTTACTACGCAATTGCTCAAAAAAGTAAAACCCATGCATTTGCTGGTGGCCTATGTCCTACAGTTGGATCAGGTGGGCACATAAGTGGTGGAGGCGTGGGGACTTTGTTAAGAAAGTATGGTCTTGCTGCTGATAACGTTGTAGATGCAAGAGTTATGGATGCCAATGGACAAATTCTTGACAAGAGAAAAATGGGCGAAGATTTGTTTTGGGCTATAAGGGGAGGTGGAGGAGCAAGTTTTGGGGTAATACTTGCATGGAAACTCAAGCTATCTCGTGTTCCTGAGCAGGTTACAGCTTTCACAGTTCGTAGAAAGCTTAATCGTGGCAATATAAAATTGATCCAGAGATGGCAAAATATTGCCCATCAATTTCCTGAAGATATTTTCGTGAGAATGATCCTTCAAAATCCAGCACCAGTTATAAAAGGAGGAGAAAAGATTGTTCAAATTTCCTTTCAAGGTTTGTATCTTGGGACGGCTGATAAGCTTGTTACTTTATCAAGCCGATACTTGCCGGAATTTGGGATAAAGGTTAGAGATTGCTTTCAAGATCCCATTGAAATTAAAAATTGCAAAAGGAAACCTTGCATCAAGAAAGAATGCTATCAAGTTCCGTGGATCAAATCAGCACTTTATTTTGCATCAAAAACACCTAAAAGTTCGTTGAACTATTTGGTGAGCAAAAGTAGCGCGCCTGCTTATTACAAGGCAAAATCTGATTTTGTTACACGACCAATACCAGATAAGGCATGGGTATTGCTAAAGAAAATGTTTCTTGAAGAAGACAGTCCCATGATGATATTAGATCCTTTTGGTGGAAGAATGAGTCATATTTGCAAGTCTGAACTTCCATTCCCACATAGGAATGGGACATTGTATAACATACAATACTTGGTAAAGTGGAAACACAATAACCAAAGTGAGAGCAACAAGCATATTAAATGGATAAGAAAGCTCCATAAGAAAATGGAGCCATTTGTGTCTCAATCTCCTAGAGCTGCATATATCAATTACAGGGATCTTGATTTGGGGGTCAATGGAGAGGGGTACAAGTATGAGGAAGCAAAGACATGGGGAGAAATGTACTTCAAAGACAATTTTGAAAAGTTGGCAAGGATAAAGAGCAAGGTTGATCCTAGCAACTTCTTCAGGAACGAACAAAGTATTCCACTTTTATTTTGAGGCTAAAACAGCACAAATATGCATTTGCGTAGTTTGCCAACCATGCTAATAGCCCTTCACAGTAGAGCAGTTGCTTTTCGAAGTTTCTTTGTTATTAGTTCGTATGTTGTCGTCCTCCATGAGCAGTGCATGTGATAGGATGCTTGCGAATTGGGCTCTGTTGTGCATTTACGAGGTAACCACTCTCGTCCATTGTCTGTCCTTTTTTTTCCAAAACACGCGGTGTTTCTTTTGGGCAATGGGTTGGAGGCCAGAAAGTCGGAAACCGGGTGCTTCTCTCTCTTTTTGTCTTGATTCTCTCTCCTTTTCTTCTCCTCTGCCATCTTCGTCTTTCTCAGGTTGCAAGACTAATCAAGGATTTGGTAAATCGGGCTTTTGAGGAAGCATTAAAGGTAAACTGTTTTGAGTTGTAATTTCTCAGAATTATCTAGTTTCTTAGGTTTTGTTTTCGTTTAAACTTTTAGTGGATAATGATAGGATGCGCAGCTGATAGAGAATATTGCACAAAAATCCCAGGAGCAATCGTGTCAAAGGTTAGCGGACATTTCATTTCTTCTTGCTGCTTTTGTTTCTTTCTAAGCTTATCTGATGTTTTATACTAGCTTGATGGTAAAATACCGTAGTTTCTTACTTTGCTTTTTGTTGACTGTGGAAGGGAAGCGTTACTGATGAATGGAAAGTTTGAGAGATGCCATCACAAGTCTTTGGGATTGTGGTGGGGAAAAAAGTTGGGTTAGTTTTAGGACTATCATAGTATGAAGGACATATTAGGTTATGAGATGTTATGTATTGGTGTGGTTTTGTACATAAATGGTTTAAGAAAGATTAAAATCAACAAGATTTTTGGAAGTCATTTCACTGCAATGCTTGCCCATTAGAGATACTGGAATGCATATGGATCCTCGTGAAAATTTTAGGTAGATAAAGTGAATCTCATTAGTTTTAGTTCAGCTCAGTTTTCTTAACTGCAGAAATCTTCATAGTCACTGTCTGCCGTTCCAAAGCTGTCCCTAAGATCGTATATTTCTGCTGCTAGTTGAATGTGAATTTTTCAAACCTATCCCTAGAATCATATAATTCTGCCTCCTACTTTACTTTTATTATTATGCCTCCTACTTATAGTTTCCCCTCTTTATGATTTAAGTTTTAATCGGATTCTATAGCTATTTCCATAATAATTATAAAGAGACGGTTCCTTTTTTTTTATTACAATTTGTTGATGTCATCAAATTGGGTGTTGAAAACTGGAAATTTTGCTTGAGTTGGATGGTTCGGTGTAGTAGTTACGGGAAATAGGACAAATTGAAATTTTAAAGTGTGAATTTTCACTTTTTCATGTTTCCGAAATCATTCAGCTTTACAAATCAGTTGAAGAAATAACTGGAGAATCTTATTAATGTTTATTTTTCTTGTATTTTCTTTGGCTTTGTACGTGATATCATGCCTCTTGAGTCATTGCGTAATTTTACCAATCTAATCGTTCAGTTTCGATGGTCAAATTTTTCTTATTGGATGGGATAATCTGAAATTTTTAAATGGTATGCAGACACGGAAGATACTTGGCAATGGATGGACTAAACTTGTAAGAGTTGTTTTAGGGAATTATCTAGTGTTTTATTTAGTGTTTTAATATTTGTCTTGCATTAATGCCTAGATATTTCAACAGCCATTTAAGCCATTGGCAATTTGCGGTTGATTAAGCAAAATCTTGTGCAAGCTTAAAAACTAAGTTTGCAACTCCTTTTTTTTTTTTTTTAAGTGCCATGAGTCTATGATTATTGATTCTTTCTAACTGTATAGAAAAAAGGAACTAATAAAATAGTTATATTTGCATAACCAGATTGTACTTTTATCGAAAAACTAATTCACCTGGAATGTGAAATTTGGGCGGGGCGCGAATAATTCTTTAAGTAGCAAATATTCTTTGAAGATTGGAGAAGCCTTTCTGGTTTCTGGAAAATCATTGCCACGCTTGAAGCCTCCACCTTTTTAAAAAACTTTGTTGTTAAATGTGCATCTCTCAGTTGTCAGATCTCTGGAAAGTTTTTCTTGTTTGTATTTTATTTGTCTGGTTTTTTTTTTTTTTTTTTTTTTTTTGTCATTGGACAAAAGATAAAGAATTTTGTTTTTTTTTTTTTTTGGTGTCACGTTTATTTGGATTTATTTTGAAAGATAAACTACAAACATTTTTCCTCCAATCTAATTTCACCTGTCAGGGAAAGGAAGAGAAAAAAAAAGAGGATGCAACGTCTTACAGTTAAGCACTGGGGCTACGTTAGTCATTGGTGTATTTTACTTGGCAACAGAGGTATGCATTGCTAGTATCTATATTCATTTATGCTCACAAGAGTACTTTTCATTCCGCATATTAGCAAAGATTTTGTATAGTCAAATGTAATTAAATAAAAGCTAAATTACATCTTCTCAGATGCCCTTCTCATTTTGTCCCACTCCCACCTTCTGCTGGGAGTGGGAAAGCAAAGAAGGGTTCTAAAGGTGGTGCGGCTGCCGATGCTCCAAAGGAATCAACCCTTAGCAAAGAAGTCAAATCCACCACGGTTGTTGGTGCCAATATTCTCAAGGATGGAGCAGACCCGAAGATCTTGCCAGACTCGGAGTATCGTGAATGGCTGTCACACCTGCTTGATAAACGCCCGGCACTAAGTGAGCTAAGAAGGAAAGACCTGGAAACTCTTCCTTACGAGGACCTAAAACGTTTTGTCAAACTGGACAATCGAGCAAGGATCAAGGAAAATAATTCCATCAAAGCCAAGAACTGAGGTTACTGAGCTGAGCTGCTGCTGTTTACAAAAGGTCCATGTACCGTACTCCTGTTAGAGATTTAAAGTCGTTCATCTCAACAGAGGTTTCCCCTGTTGGTAGTTTGTTTGGGTTTTGCGTTTATCCTGATGCTGTTCAAACTTTGATAAGGTCTGCCGGAGTAAATAACTCTGCAAGTTACTGCAGCAAATCTGGTTATGACTCTTAAAGCGACAATTTTTCTCTATTTCTACCCAAAAAAAAAAAAAAAAAACTTCTCAGAGAATGCAGAACGGTTCCGTCATTTGCTAATAAATGGTGGAAACCATTTAGATGATTCAAATAAATTTGTTTTGAAATATTTCGATCTTTGAAAATTTAATGTAATTTTCTTCTTCTTAAATTTAGTTATGTGCATTAAGTATTTTCTTAGTTATGGCTATGTAATTTAATGTAGTTTTCTTCTTCTTAAATTTAGTTACATTGATGATGCAAATTTAGTTTTGTGCATTAAGTAGATAGATCTTAATATCCTTTATTCTGATGTCTCTTCTGTTTTTCTACAAAAGATGTTCTTATCCTCTTGAACTTCTTGAATTTATTGCATGAGAAAATAATTCAAACTTCTTAGCACGATCAAGCATTGATCTATAGGTCGACACAAGTAATGTTTAGTCAATTGAAATTGTCTTTATTCTATTTATGTTGTGGTCTTCAGCTCATTTTCTTTTTCTCTATGCCTGAAGTTTCAGCAAAAGTAGACTTTTGATCTTATTAGTCAGTCATTCTCTGTCCGTTTTCATAGCTGCTCTTTTAAAGACTTCTCAATGTCTAAGAGCCATGGGCAATTAAGACTAAGAAACTTGTTAGAATTTTTAGTTTTAGGGGGCAGCTATTCACAATTACGTAATTCAATTTTTGGTACATTTTGTCTGGGCACTTTTGCTTTTGTTTACGAGTTCATAATATTTTTTTTTATTTAGTCAAGTAGGATTTTGTGAAGGGTAAGTTTAGAACATGACTCCAGAACCTGTCACCAATAAATATAAGAAATTGGATTTTTTTAGGATAGTGTGGATAAAGGTACAATTAAAGGAAAATTAATTTTACTGTAAGTAAGAGTAGCAGCAATGGCCTAACAATCGATTGGCCTCCTTACTTATTTGATAATTCTCTTGTCATTTTTGTTTTTCATTGGAGTTTTGTCATTTTAATCTGAATCATGTGTTTCTCGAATTATCAAATGTTTGGTTTCAAAAATTTATCAACTATTAGATAGCATCATCCTTAACTTTCATAATAAAATGTGAAGCTTTAAAATTTATCAACTATTAGATAGCATCATCCTTATTTTTCACCATAAAATGTGAAGCTCATACGAAAGTTAAATTCACGGTTGATTTTGGCACACACAAAAGCCATGGTGACAAAGTACATTATCACACTCGTATAAATGCAAGTCACATACCAATTGAGGATTGATATTGCTTGTATATATGCATCATAGCTATCAACTCCTTAAATAATTAATGCAAAAATAATTTCTAATTTGATATCATTACGCAAATTTGCATTTATACATTGACACCCTTTTAACTCATATGACTCTCATAATAATATATTTTTCTTTTTTTTAGAAATAATACAAACTTAGTAGACATAATCGGGCAACTAACTTATACAATCTCACACCGCACATCGCACGGTGATGCCCTCCTAGTCTCAATAAACAACGCTCAGAGAGCATATCATGTAATATATGACTGACTGTTCATGGCAAATCCGGCATTATAGGTAGTTTTTGGTAAAAGGGGAAAAGAGAAAGTTATGCTTTTTAGGGGCAAAAAAAGGGCGTTGGTTGTAGATGGAGCTTATTGTAGTTTTGAACAGGATGAACCCATTGTCGCATTTTACTTTGAGCTTGAGGGCCGAAGTTTATTTGGGCTTTCTTTTTAACATTTTCCCAATATGGACGATGCCTACGGTTCAGCAACATTTCCTGGTCCAAACACACACGGCCAGGCAGTCGTTTGGCATTAGGTCATGGGCCAAGACTTTAGACTCCATCAAAGGAATACAATTAAGACCGTCACTTATATTGTAGCAAATTTTGGTGAGAGACAAGAATTGAACCTTGACCTTCCGCACCACTGAGTTGGTGGTGACCATCAGGCCAAGGCCTAGTGGCCATAGGCCGAGATTGGATAGCCCAAATTGAGAGTCTGTCTGGCTTTTTCTGCAGTTCTTATAAAAAATATACTATAACGATTTGAAATTTAAAAAAATAATGATTGAAAAATATATTCATAGAAAATCTAAAAATTTTTTAAGAAAAAATGACAATCCAAATATGACTTAAATGTTTCATGTTTGTTAATCTTCTGTCTCGTTCTGACTCAAAAATAAACAAATTAAAAGTTTAGTATTAAAACCAAACAAATCAGGATTTTGCATTAACCTAAGAACACCATGCATAAAAGGTCCATCACAAACTCTTCATTTGATACAGCTTTATTCGCTGAAATTATGAAACTAATATTTAATACTACTGAATTACGGAGTTCATTTTGTGTAGAAAACACAAGGTCAAGGCCTTAATCCAGCTGAATTTATACATACAATTACTTTCTCAAATTAATCATAACTGGAGGGGGGAAAAAGTGCACAAATCCAAACCATTCCACATGTTTTGCTGGCTCTATAATGAAGTGAGAGTTTTAGACCTTTCAGGGACTAGTGGGCGAAATGTGTCATATGACATTAACAGATCAAGCAGAAAACCGGGAATTCCAATGCAATGGTGGTGAGCGAGTTTGAAGACGTGAATTGTTGAAGTCATAAAAGCCTGAGAAAGAAGACTGGGAACTGAGAAGAAGACGTGACTAAAGCTGAGTCAGATCTACTGTACATCATGCTCAGCCGGGATTAATCCGTACTAAGTAATTCAACGTGTCCACTAAAATTCAACTATTTAGGGTACTGTACTACGTTGATGGTAATCAAAGGTTGAGCAGGCAACGTGCAGTTGATTAATGAGCCCTCATGCTGACGGGATAATAACCACCGGAGAAAACTCCCCAAGCTACGGATTCCATTTGTCCATTTCCCTATTCCTTTCTTTCTGGCTTGAACCTTGGACAACTTGCATTAATTTAGCAATTAGTGCTAAGTACACGGCTTGAATAAGCGTGCCACTTGGTTGTGATGAACTCTTCATTTATTGTCCTTTTAAGCTTTCTGCCCCCTTTAAAAAGTACACGTTGATTTGATTTAATGAGGGTATAAAATGAAAAAAAAAAAGATAAAATAGTTCAAAACGTTGGTCATTTTTTAAGAATTGAATTTTTTCATCTTTTACTTTTAAGATATTAAATTTGTGTTAGTTACAAATTTAAGTTAATAAAATTTGATTCTAATTTAAGTTTTCAATTACTTTTTAACCTGAAATCACCACGTAACTCGTATGTAATCATTTTTTATGCACAAAAATATTACATGCCACTTTTTTAATAACAAAAATGAATGTGAATTTGATCATATTCTACCTTTTTAAGAAAAGGAATGAGGTTCGGATCAAATCAAACTTTGTTAGAAACAAAAATGAATATGAATCGGGTCAACTGATTAACTACAAATGGGATCTAATTTTTTTTTGTCTCTTAAAAAGTAACTATCTATGAGTCACGTTATGGACTTAGAGTAAAAGTGGTCAAAATCTACATTTGGACCAAATTTTATTGACTTGTTTTTGTAAGAGATATAAAGTTGCAATTTTAAAAGTAAAAAATTAAAATTTTCATTTAACAAAATATGTGGGACATTTGAATGATTTTTCCCAAAAAAAGGGTATATATGGCATTAAGTTACATCAGTTTCAAAAGTAAGAGAGTATATTTAACAGTTTCTCACGTCATTTAATTGCATTTAAATGCGAAAATAAATGTTTTGCTTTGTAAAAAGAAGCACATAGGGTAAAACACAGCCACTTGGTATTTATCCTTGAACTCGAAGTCAGTGGTTTATTCCTTCCTTAGAGATATATGTACTAAGATAGTGTAGTTGGAAATGACACATTCAAAGAAATGTAAATGTTCATGTCCTGTATTCATACTGATACATGAGGGGTGAAATCAACTTTCTTGATTTTGAAATATACCTGGTTCATTAATAATTACATTGCGTTTGATCTACTTATACGTGTATATCAACATTTGAAAATGATAAATAAGTGCAGTTGCTTGGATTTGAGTGGTTCTTTAGCATGCTAAGTACTCATTTACGGTTGCAGTGATTTTACCAAAATGTTGAGTAAATGCAGTTTGAGGGGTGTTCGGCGACAAGCCAAGGCACTCCAAACTTTACCCCAAGTTTGTTCGACATGTGATATTTTATCTGAACTAAAAGGGAGTAGAACTGTAGAAGATGAAGATAATGATCTAATTAATATACTTCTTGTCCTTAATCCTTGTACATTTTTTTTTTTAATTTTTGTACTCCTCTCTTTAGCTTCCTCCTCTCTTTGCTCAATTATTATACTTACAAATAACACTAACCTTCACTAACCTTTATCATAATCAACAGATAGCTTCTAGAGGCTGTTAGAGTAGCCTTCCGGTAACATTTTTCAGTTACTTAATATTTTTTTCGTACTATCTAAGTATAAGATTGAAATATTATTTGAAATAATACGTGTTTACGTTCCCTCTATTTGGTATATAAGTGGCACAAATGGTATTTGACTGGTTACCTATTGAGACGCTATAATCATGCTGCAATATCCATGCACTACAATAGTCTAGCTAATGTAGCGTGGGTGGTCCAAGAATGTACATATATTACTTGACAAATACTCCTGTCAAAGCTAAGATCATCATTGATTGGAAAAAAATATCATATATAACTAGATAAAAGTTCAAAGAAAATTCAATCAAATTTCAAAAACTGGGAGGAGGTCTTCATAATCACCATAAATTTAGGGGAAGCCAACATAATTTGGCCTTTTTCATAAGCTGCAAACCCCTCGGGACCTAAATTCCCTTTGATTTAACACTTTTGGGCAACTGTAGCAAAAGAAGAGCCAAAGGAGAGGGAACTTGTTTCGCCTTTAATAGCTCTCGGTAGTATCTCTTTTGGTTTTCCACCCTTGAATTCCAAAGCCCCTTTCTTTTCTTTTCTTTTCACAAACAAACCACTCATGTCTCTGTCTGTGTCTTTTATTCTCTCTCCTTCTCTGCACCTCTTATTGGTTGCGTATTTTCCAACAGTCCCTCTTGAGTTGCTCAAATAGGTGGGGAGTGGTGCCAGTAGTCCAGTACTACTTGCACTAACACTTAATCACTCGTGTCACCAAATCCAACCCAAAACAATTACACACAGT